CCCCAAAACCCCAAAACCCCAAAACCCCAAAACCCCATTAAGAGGAGTAAAAATATTAAATTAATAAATATATTGAGTATGTAAGCTAGAGGAATATCGGATAAAACCTAATCCTTGCCAATCTCTTTTGTGAGTATAAAATTAGAAAAATCTGAAAATTAATAAATTAAACCGTGATCATCCTGCCACATTTTGCTCCTTTTGGTTTATATCTCGAATCTATGCTCAAATAATTACGAGGAGAGAAAAGAAGTAGTGCATCTGCATATGTCATATATGTCTTTATGAGTAGTGACATCTAGTTCTTGAACTTAAGAGATTCAAATCCACGAATTCGAAGGAATGCTCTTAATTAAAAAATATATAAAAAAATCGACTAAATAATTGTATTTCTTGCGAGGCTTAAGCTAAAATTTAGGCAAATCTGATTCTAAATATACTAACACTTTTCATTAGGAGTACAATAGATGAAAATAGCATTTTCTGCATACTTTTGACTTTGAGCTTATGATTATTTAATACCCACAAATAATTAGAAGCACTTAGTTGCTGTTTCATGCCCTCTTGTAGCACCTAAATGTTGAGACCAACTTGTCTCAATGTATTGAAAGAGACACCTGAATTCTTAAAAATTGTATCAGAGCTTTAAAACGGGGTAAACTATTATGCACTCATTCTAGGCTACTAACCATAATTAATATTATCGAAAATGAGATCTCCTAATGCTAGATTTAGCTTAGAAACCAGACTTCTCTTTGCATCAAAAAATTCCATTTATATATCTCCTCAAAGGTAATACCACCACTCCATTAATAATTAGAAAACAAAATAACACATAACACAGGTCTGATACAGCTCAGCACCTCCACCAAAATTTCAAATTTAAGACACCCTTAAAACTAATTAAACTACTCTGGAAATTTCCCTTAAACATCAACAAATGTCATTAAACACTCCAAAAATACCAAATTCACCACAAATACACCAGAACCAAATATCATTACATATGTTTTGGAAACCTCCTTTCTCAAACCATTCTCTATATCATAATTTCTTCATTTTCTCCAAATTTCTGGCTATCAAATCTATCTATTTTCAAGTCCATACATTGCCTTTAAAGTGTTTTTTGGCAATTTTTATAAAATTTTATATTTTCAACTATGAATTTCCAATTGGGGTTTTGGGGTTTTGGGGTTTTGGGG